AGCGACGCTACTTTCCGAACTAAAACTGATCGGAAATATACATTTTGTAGAGTGGCAGCACAGAAATTACGATTTCGTGGTTGAAAAAAATGAGTATAGCAACTTGCGTGTAACGTACCTTTTTTTCACTCATGTAATGTCAGTATAATATCATGTTAAGTTGGTTAGGTACTTTTTTCGCTTTTTTAGGTTCATGCTGATTTGATACACTACTTCATCGGTTTCCTGGACGAACATTTCGATCAGCTATCACTGTACAGCTTAGAGCGCTCCATGGCCCTCTTGATGAACCTTTGCCTTACAGAAGAAGCAGAAGAATACTGCAATAAGAATGCTGGACGGGTAAGACACATTTTCGCTGAACCAGCTTTTTTCATGTTCTCTTGATTTTATAGGTTGTGAAATTGGTAAAAAAAATTTTGGACGATAAGTACTCTTCTTGTTTACCTTATATTAGTGGATTACTGCTGAACATTTTGATTCATGAAAACGTCATGTCGGAAGCAAGAAAAGAGAAAATGGATGAAGTTTTACAGCAACTCACAAAGGTTGGTATAAATGTTACACGTTGTTATATGTGACTGGGTTGTAACTTTTCAAGTATTGCCATAGAATGAAATAATGTGGAATAAGCTTGACCCGTAATCTTTTATTTTTTTTTATTTGATCATTTAATAGGCAATTTGAGAAAAAGAAATACATGTTTGAATTATACCATCAATTAATAGGGAGTAAATCTATAATCTCATACCACTCTCCTTATCCTATTGTTTTGTAACTGAGAGACAGAAAAAATTACTTAAATAAATTTTCTGTATTAATCTATTCATAGTCCACTACATCCATTCAGGTCTATGATTACATCATATTTGTTCCAATATAATGACTTCTTTAAGTTTTGTTTGACTTTACAAAAATATAGAGTAAAATTTGAATCTCATTTTATACACTTACCTTTTCTAACAACTGTGCTTCTTTATAGAATACAAAAGACGAGTATATGCGTCGACAATTATCATTCTTGATTCGATCTAGATTTGGTGAACAAGTTGAATCATTTATTGGAGATGATAATGAGTATTTCCACAATGATGATATATTAGAAGATGAATTAGATACAGATACTGAAGATCGTATGCCAATTGATGAAGAAAATTTATCAAGTAGGTATTCAAAAGGATATCGAAATTAGAATGAAATAATATTATATAATATATTGTAATGCTCCAATTATGACAACTAGTTTTGTTATGTGTTGTGTATTGGTATGTATTGTATTATGTTGAGCGCCAGTGAAATGTTAGAAATTTTACTATTAATTCAGGAAATATAATTTATCACTTACCAGGCTAGCTTTCTCATAGGATATCACTCAATTTAATATAAATTGTAATTTAAAGATTATTTTTTTTAAGTATTCAGGATTTAAAATGAAATTATAATTTAATTTTTTTTAATGATTTGATTGACAACTAAATTAATTATGTCAATTTTGCACAAATAACTTATATGGATTTTATTAGAACATGAGTTCTCATCTCAGAAGTCGGTTCATATATTAAATTTTTACTGGTAACTGAATTTGAAAAAGAATTAAATAATATAGTGTGATCTGGGTTCAAACTTTCTATTGACATAAAGATGACAAACAAATTACTAAATTTTTCTATTCCCTATTTAACCTGCTCTACCTTATATCTATTCTATAAACATGTACTTATTATCTTCTAAGAATAATTATTGTCACTCACTTAATATCTATCAACTATCCTTCTTTCTTCCACTGTCCTTGACCTCTTAAGTCGGCACTTTCCCTCTGTAGCGTCTCTTCGGTCCTCTCCCTTCTAGGCGTCCACTTACTCTCTCCTTGTGGTTGTCTAGATATGCTAGATGGGACTTCTAGACTCGCCTGGTATCTCGCACCCCTCGTCTCCTTTATTCTTGGCTAGGATAATTCAGATAATTTTACTAATATAACCTTTTTAATATTTACGCTTTAGTTATCTGAATCCCCTTTCACTATCTTCTAATACTAATTCTTTTCTCAAGAAACTTTTCCTTCGGGTTTTCAAGACCAGCTTTGCACTTTTCCTTTCGTCGTTTATACTTTAATTTGCTTGTATTTATATAATCTTCTTGTATTTTCCTTGACAATTCCTCTCTGCTTTTTCTGTCTTATTTCTTTATTATTATTAATCCTCATTTTTTTTCCCGTCTCCTTGAGTACCATAGCACTGCACTCTTAATTTAAAATACAAAATTTCTTTTTCATTTAACCAATCAGATCACTTTAACTTTTACATTTTCAATTTAACTTTTCCAATATTATTTAATTCCTAATTTGCTATCTAATGCCCTTATTTTATACCCACTTTTATAAATTTAGACTAATATTCCACCAAAATTCATAGTTTACTTATAAATTGTCATTATGTATCCAATTGTCATCAAATTTCAAATCATTAACTTCCACTGTCATTCCTTGACTTTAATTTCCTTTCATCCCAATACTGAAATTTAAACCTTTGAATTATTGATTCTTCTCAAATTCCCCAAATTTGTTTTGAAATTTTAAAACACCCTGTATTTTTGAAATTGCAAAACAAATTTTCAGAGATTCCTGTTTTATCGACATTTGAATTTATCCTTCTGCCTGATTAACTGTCATCGTTTTGTGTGTTATAGGTTATGTGTTTTAGTGAAATTTATATATGTGACTGATGTGAAAATCCCCTCGAATTACTTCATATGGTCCCTCATAAGGTAAGATTAAGTATATATCTCTATCTTTCTTTTTCACAATTACAAGTGAATTTATGTATTTTATATTTACCTACTTCGTGATATGATTTTATTTTTAATAAATTTGTGATTACTCTTTTTCCTCATCCTTGTAACGATATGGTATTGGGTATATTTTATCTTTGAAATTATTTATATTTTGACTTCCAATCATGGACAAATTAGTAGCAACTCGTGTTTCTTTCTTAATTAACTCTTCATACATACCTCTTAATTCTATTACACTATTTTTTTTTATATTTTTGTTTTCTTTTTATAATTCGCAGTTTATCTATATAATATTCATTTCAATATCATATTTATTTTCATATTCATTAATAATATTCTTCATCAACTTACTTTCATATTCATTATATAATTCATAATTATTATTACACATATTCTCCTACAATAATACATATCATCATTCTCACTGCACTCATTGCTTCTAATTTCTTTTCCTTATTTTTAACTTCATTATTAAACTTTATAATATTTCCCTTTATATTTATTATTTTATTTCCATAATCTACGATTGCATTATTTCTTTCCAATTCATCGTTACCCAATATTACATCACATTCAAGACTTGGTACTACTAATAATGATACTACTACATTTAATCCATTTAGATCGATAGAGATATTTACCATTTTGTTTGCCTCGTATAATCTTTTACTATTTACTCCTATTAGATTTATCTTTGGAATTTTAACAATTTTATCTTTTAACCCTATATTATCTTTGATAAATTCTTCTTTTATTAATGAAGCCTCGGATCCTGTATCAACTAACATATTTACTTTAGAATTATCAAATTTACCTACTATATAAATTAATTGATTATTTATTTTATTTTCCAGATTATTTTCGTCTCTTATATACTCTCTGGGATGTTCATAACTGCAAATGTGTACTTGGAGATTTGGCCTGCATTCTACTGAAAATCCGGAAGATCTTCAGGGTTTGTGTTTTGTGATGTGCTGTGTGGTATTTGTATTGACTCGTCCCTATCTACCGATCGAGTGTGTAGTTCCTCATATGATCTACGACTACTTTCGACGCTTGGTCTATCATAACGCTGAAAGTTGACTCGTCTAGTATTTGTATTATCCCTATCATTACTATTTGACCTTTGATTAAAATTGTGTACATTATTTTGAATATTGTCCCTATTACGATACTGTCTGTTATTGTAATTTTGCCTAAGACTTTGATTATTCTGATTATTATATTGATTTGGCTCATAGCTATTGCCTTGTCGATTGAAACCTTGATTATAATTTTCATTACGACCTGTGTAGTTATTGTTTGTATAATTTCTATTAACATTATTGAAATTACGATTATTGTTACCCTGATTAAAATTTTGCCTATTATTATTATTATATGATATTCTTTGTGGATTGTTGTATCTTCCTTGTGTTGTATAATTAAAATTTTGCCTGTAATTCGTATCTAGTGTATTATGTTCTGTTTGTCTATTTATATTACGTGTAGGATTAGAAATATATTGTTGTGCATATGTGTTATTTGTATTATGTTCTATGCGATTTAAATATACACACAATTGATCCATGTCAGTTATATTATGTATAGCAAAACTCTCTGATATTTCGTGTTTAAAATGTCGCGATATATAAAGTACAATTTCTTGTTCCGGCATTGGAGGTGACAAATATTTTGCTGTGGCATATAACTGTAACGCATACCGTGATAATGTATTATTTTTATACTCATTATACTTTCCAAAATATAATTTCTCCCTAACTCTGTTCTGTGCATAATCTCCCCAAAAATAACCAAAAACTTTCTCTCAAATTCACCTACACTTTGAATTTCATGCTCTTTTCCTTCGAACCATATTGCTCCTTCTCTTTCCATATTTTCTCTAATCAGTTCTTTGATTTCATCAATATCTACTATGTATTTTAGCTTAAGTTTTATCATCTTCATGAATACCACTGGGTGTATCTTATTAATCCGTCCATCAAATTTATGTGTCAAATTTTGACCAGTGTAACTTACTATCATATTCTGTCCCATTTGTAACTGTAAATTTTTCCAATTTTCCATTTCTTTTCTTAATTCTTCTTTGAGTTTTTCTATGTTAGTGTTGTTTTCCTCGTTTCTCATATATACCTCTTGTCCTGTCCGTGTTCGTGTTTCTATTTCTTCTATCCTTGTTTTGTTTTGGGTTATTCGCTGCTCCAAGCTATTCATCTACTTTCCATTTCATGAGTTTTTTCTTGGACATTATCTTCTATTCTCCTGATATTTTCGCATAATTGAAAAACCCTGCTCTTACATTCCTGTTCTTTTTTCTTAGTATCTTCAACTCCTTCTGCAACTTTCTGTTCCATTCTTGAAATTTTCTCTTCCATTTCTGCCTGAAATATTTTCTGCTCCTCTTTAAATTCTTTCTTCATTTGTTCTATTTTCTTATCCAAAACACCAGATATTTCTTCTGTATTCCTTAAGATCGCTTGTTTTAATTCACTCATATCTTCTTTTCTTTGTTTTTCTTGATCATCTTCTTTTCTCAATTGTCTCTCCATATCTTCCTTTCTTTGTTTTTCTTGTTCTTCTTCTTTTCTTAATTGTCTCTCCATATCTTCCTTTCTTTGCTTTTCTCTTTTCTTTTCCATCTCCTGGAACATTTCCAATAAACATGTCATATCCGTTTTCTGTCCTGTTTCCTTGCTTTCACTTGTTCCTGGCCTACTCTCTTCTTCAGACATACTTATATCTTCATCCTCTCTCCTTGTTACATTACCACTCCTTAGATCCATATTATTTCTTCTAAATATAATATCTTCTTATTATCACGTTATAATATCGCCTCTTCTTAATTGCGCCCCACGTTGGGCGACATTATTTGTAATGCTCCAATTATGACAACTAGTTTTGTTATGTGTTGTGTATTGGTGTGTATTGTATTATGTTGAGCGCCAGTGAAATGTTAGAAATTTTACTATTAATTCAGGAAATATAATTTATCACTTACCAGGCTAGCTTTCTCATAGGATATCACTCAATTTAATATAAATTGTGGTTTAAAGATTAAATGTTTTTTTTAAGTATTCGGGATTTAAAATGAAATTATAATTTTATTATTTTTTTTAATGATTTGATTGACAACTAAATTAATTCTGTCAATTTTGCACAAATAACTTATATGAATTTTATTAGAACATGAGTTCTCATCTCAGAAGTCGGTTCATATATTAAATTTTTACTGGTAACTGAATTTGAAAAAGAATTAAATAATATAGTGTGATCTGGGTTCAAACTTTCTATTGACATAAAGATGACAAACAAATTACTAAATTTTTCTATTCCCTATTTAACCTGCTCTACCTTATATCTATTCTATAAACATGTACTTATTATCTTCTAAGAATAATTATTGTCACTCACTTAATATCTATCAACTATCCTTCTTTCTTCCACTGTCCTTGACCTCTTAAGTCGGCACTTTCCCTCTGTAGCGTCTCTTCGGTCCTCTCCCTTCTAGGCGTCCACTTACTCTCTCCTTGTGGTTGTCTAGATATGCTAGATGGGACTTCTAGACTCGCCTGGTATCTCGCACCCCTCGTCTCCTTTATTCTTGGCTAGGATAATTCAGATAATTTTACTAATATAACCTTTTTAATATTTACGCTTTAGTTATCTGAATCCCCTTTCACTATCTTCTAATACTAATTCTTTTCTCAAGAAACTTTTCCTTCGGGTTTTCAAGACCAGCTTTGCACTTTTCCTTTCGTCGTTTATACTTTAATTTGCTTGTATTTATATAATCTTCTTGTATTTTCCTTGACAATTCCTCTCTGCTTTTTCTGTCTTATTTCTTTATTATTATTAATCCTCATTTTTTTTCCCGTCTCCTTGAGTACCATAGCACTGCACTCTCAATTTAAAATACAAAATTTCTTTTTCATTTAACCAATCAGATCACTTTAACTTTTACATTTTCAATTTAACTTTTCCAATATTATTTAATTCCTAATTTGCTATCTAATGCCCTTATTTTATACCCACTTTTATAAATTTAGACTAATATTCCACCAAAATTCATAGTTTACTTATAAATTGTCATTATGTATCCAATTGTCATCAAATTTCAAATCATTAAATTCCACTGTCATTCCTTGACTTTAATTTCCTTTCATCCCAATACTGAAATTTAAACCTTTGAATTATTGATTCTTCTCAATATATAGACTGGGACACAGCTAATGCCAAATTCTTAAAGTCAAAATAAAGCAAGTGAGCTATACTTCCATCTAAGATGTGTTAAGGAGAAAATCGATTTTACGAATATTTCAGGATCCAATCATCAATGTTTCAAATTTCAAAGAATTTTTTTTGTCCGCGACTGTTCCATAAAATGTGTTTTCTGAATAATAACAACATCCATTATTCACTGGTTTAAATAGCGCAGGTAGTAGTAATCCGGGCAAATTAGTTTTTTTTTTAAATCGGGTCTAACTCGAATTTTATGGGCTTGAAATTAAGTAAAAAATACACAAAATAAAAGCCTAAATTTGTGTATTCGTAGAGGTTGAGCGCCATATTGTTTATAACAAAAGAAAAAAAATATATTGCTCTTTTTTCAGTTTTTCGCTTATATCTCCGAAAATAAGCCTCTAATCGACATGAGGTATACTTATCGATTTTCTTCCTGAGGAAATTTGCTATAAAGATAGGCTTTTACATTGCAAAATTAACAGTGAAAAAATATGTGCAAAATTTTCAGAATTAAATAAAAAGAACAAATTTGACTGAAATTGGATGAAACTACAGGAAAAGATAACCGTTGGGGTGCTCAACAAATACCCGCAATTCTGACCCTGAATTTCAAAAGTCAAGATATCGAAATTTTGTAGAAAAGGTTCGAAAGGTTCAGATTTTTAAGTTGCAAAATAAAAAAGTTATTAACAAAAAAACCAAAAAAAAAACGGTAACTAGGGTCCTTATCTCGGCAATTTTTTAATATACAGATTTCAAACCAATTGCATCAAATAGTGCTTAAAAAATATGAATTAAGAAAAAAAAAGCGTTCTGATCCGACCAATAGGAGCCGAGAAATTTTTTTCTTTAAATGGTATTTTGGCTGTTCTATTTAATATTTTGGAATAAACTTGGTCTCGTTGTAATGTAGAAGACTTCTTTTATAAGCTGATTTTTTTTTAATGGATTCGACCAAGAAGTGACCAAGAAACGTTCGTTAAAAACAGCGTGATCCGCGCGGCTGAGCTGTAGCCAGGAGAGGGGAGCGCTGTGACGTCATAGTGCCCATGCTGCGCTCGACTTCTCAAAATTCTTACTTAACAAATGGATTGTGGCATTTAGAAAGCAGCTACCGGGATGTTTTTTTTTTAAAGCAACTTATTTTTTTCCGCTCTTTCGAGTGGTGTATGCAAAAGTCTGTGGAAGTCATCGCCAGATCCCGAAAAATTCATTTTTATTGACTTTTTACGTTTTCTCTTGTAATTTCATTGTGCTTTCGATATTTTGAAAAGTAAGGAGGTCTTTTTGCGTATTTAAATACAAAAGTCAATTATATCTTTGAAAAAAAATGATGAATGAATGAAAATTTACCGTGCTCAGAAGAGGTCTACGTATAAAATATCGTTTCAACATTAACTGTTACACTTATTGCGTAAATTATATATAATAAATGCCAGGTAATGACTTACACTCGCAAGACTAGCTTTCCCATTTATAACTACTCCATTGGTGATAGTGTTGTTGGTAGAATAGAAGTATTCAAGGATTTGGGTATATACTTTGACAGTAAACTTACTTTTATTGATCATATCAATAATATTGTTTGTGGTGCCTTTAAATCGTATGGCTTTATTTATCGTAACTGCCGTCACTTCCAGTACAAGCACTTTTAAAACCCTGTTTTATGCTCTTGTGAGATCTAAACTGGAATATGGCTCGATGATATGGTATCCAATTTATCAAGTTCATTGTCAGCAGTTGGAATCAGTTCAAAGACAGTTTTTAAAATTTTTATCTTATTTGCAAGAAGGGTCTTATCCTCCCAGAGGTTTTCCCCAGAATCAACTGCTTAACAGATTTAATTTTGATTCACTGGAAACCAGACGTAATATTATGTTGATTCATTTTCTGTACAACATCTTAAATAAGAATATTGATTGTCCTGAACTTTTAGAAAAAATAAATATTTTGATACCTCGTGAGAATTCTAGACAGCAAGCTCTGTTTTACTGTGCTGCTCCTCGTACAAACATTTTAACAAAGTCTCCTATCTCATTGATGTGTGGGCTTTATAATAAAATTGCTTCTAACTCTGATATACATAGTGATGCATTAAAGAGCATATGTAGCTGGATGACTCTTTTAACGTGATTTTGTATTTTTTGTAAATTATATTTTGTTTGTATCATGTTGGAACGTAAATTTTTTTATCTATTAACAGTACATTTATTTATATATATTTATTTATGTATGTACAGGGTGTTCCGAAATAAATGCAACAAAATTTGGTCAGAAATTCCTAAGAGAAATTTAAGGGACCCGTATTTTTTATTTTTGATAAGTGCGGCCCCCTTTCGGAGACATAGCCCCCTGAAGCAAGCCCCTAAAAATTTAATTTTTTTTATATCAGAGCTCTATCGCACAAGAACCACCAAATTTGGTACACAGGGATTTTATGACATGTAGAATGCGATGCTGATAAGCTTTTTGGCAAGGGGCCCCCACAAGACACTTTTTCGGGGGCCCCCTTGCTTTTGGGGCCACCGAACTTTAGTTGCATATTTAATTTTTAAAAAAATTAGTAGCCCCTTAGAAACTCCAGGGAATTTAAAAACTTTTTTGTCTCTTAAAATTTTTTCGAAAAAAGCAGCGTTTTTCGAAAAAATGGCTAAATGTGATTGGATGCATATCGAGGTTCATATGAAATTTTAAAGTGTTAATCGTAGGTGGCTGGCATTCGCAATAAACAATCAATTTTATTCTGTGACAGTTGTCATTAACCATCATCGGGAGCTTATGGAGACAGGATCAGTAGTTGTAAAAAAATCACAATTTAAAGAAATTTAATTTTAATTTAAAGAAATCACAATTTAAACATTAACAATTAATAAGAAAATGTGAATATCAAAATAAGGTACAATAAACTTGGAAATTAATAACAAAATTAATGGTACTTCATGATTAAATAATTTAATTCTAAAAAGTTTGTTAAAATCACACTGGTCAGTTCCGTAAAACGTGTTCAAAGTGAGAACCGTTTTGTTCAACACAAGCCTGCAAACGTGACACGAAATTTTGACGTATTTTCGTGTGAATGTTGGGAATCTGTCTAATTTCTTCAGCCGCAGCAAGGATTCGTTCATGTAATTGTTCCCGGGTTCTAATTGGTACGGCATAGACGCGATCCTTCATGGCCCCCCAGAAAAAAAAGTCCATGGCATTTAGATCGGGAGAACGGGGGGGCCATGTTACATGAGGAGAATTGTTACCTATCCATCGCCCTTGGAAATTTTCATTCAGCCACTCAGTTACGAAGTGCCCCCGATGTGGTGGGGCACCATCGTGCATAAAGAACAAATTGCGTCTAATACCGAGAGGAACATCTTCCATAAGAAGCGGTAGTTCATGCTCCAAAAAATTAAGGTAACTTTCAGCATTTAATCGTGGAGGCAATAAATATGGACCGATGATGCAATCTCCGACAATTCCAGCCCAGCAATTAATTGAAAATTTTTCTTGCGAACGAGTCTGCCTTAAGACAAATGGATTTGCCATAGCC